GACCTGGGGACGCCCGCGCAACAGAGCAGCCTGGCCCTGAGCCTCGAGCTGCAGGCCGCGCGGGCCGCAGTCGGGGGACAGTTTGATGCCGCGAAGGCCGTGGAGGAACAGCTGAGAAAGTCGTTCCAGACTCGCTGCGGCCTGGAGGAGAGCGTGGCCGAGGGTGAGGGGGGCAGGCGGCTGGCCGGGCGCGGGAGTCGGGGCGAGAGGCTCCGCTCACCTCCGCTCCTCCCGCGGTCTCAGGGCTGAATGTGCCGCGCTCCAAGCGGCTCTTCCGGGACCTGGTGAGCCTGCAGGTACCCGAGGAACAGGTTCTGAACGCCGCGCTGAGGGAGAAATTGGCGCTTCTGCCGCCGCAGGCTCGAGCCCCGCTCCCAAAGGTGAGGGACCTGGGCTTGAGGCCCCCCGACCCCGTTCCCCCTTCTCCCTCACTGCCGCGGGTTCTGTCCCCTCCCCGAGTGTAACCTTGCTTTGGGCTCCAACAGGAGCCACCTGGGCCTGGGCCAGACATGACCATTTTGTGTGATCCAGATACATTATTTTACGAATCTCCACATCTGACCCTGGAAGGTTTGCCCCCTCTCCGGCTTCAACTCCGGACCCGCCCTTCAGAGGATACTTTTCTCATGCATCGGACACTGAGACGATGGGAAGCATAGACTTGGCGGCTCCCTGGATTGCTAGTTCATATTTTTGTTTAAACTATTTATCAGAATAAAGTGGTTTTGCTAACAAATGGGACTCTTCTTGGGAGCCTTAAGATAGGGTAAAGCCTCAGGTTGGAAGCTGCCAGGAAGTCAAGGTTTTGGCCCCCTTTTAAAGGAACTTGGTAGCGATGAGAAGTAGAAAACACTGCCCAAGGCGGGTTTACATACCCTCCCAACCTCTTACCCTGACTTCAGTCACAGATACCACCTTTGTTTTTTGATGACATCACATATTCCTTGCACGACTTTATTATTATTTTAATGGCGGTACTGGGGATTGAATCCAGGACTTTGTGCATGCTAATCGTGTGCTCTACCACTGAGCAGTACCCCACCCCCACGACTTATTTCTGATCACTCTAACATGTAGGTCTCAACCTACATGTTGCACTTTGGGGAAAGCCTTTCCTCAAAACCTGGCTCAAGGAGCCTACAAGGCAGCTGCTAGCACCTAGTTAGGGAAATTACCTCCTTTTATTTAAGGGCCTGGCCCATCTGTATACCCCTGACCCAGGAGCACTCAGTATTTGCTGAATGAATGTTCAAAGCTCCAGAACACTTGACAAGCTACAGAAGAGCTTCCTGTTAATTAAATTGCCCATTAGTCTGGTTCCACACCGCAGGCACAAACAAAAGGTGGGTGGTAGGTCCCAGAGCAGGTAGGTGGCTTGGTCCAAGCGCTTCTTCTGGTTCCACTTCAACTCCACTGTTAACTCTTCCAAAGCTAGTCTTCTGCCCAAAGTTCCCACAAAAAATTTTTGTCAGTGGGTTTTTTTGGGGGGAGGGTAGATGGACTCTCCTAGTTTCACATCAAAATTCACAATATGACCCCTTTCCCTGACCTAGGGTTCTGTATACTTGTAAGTCTCACTAGCATTCAACAATGCTAACCCAACCATAGAAAAACCTCTTCCTTAAGACTAGTCTAGGCAGAGAGAGAGGTTCTAGTGGGAGGTACCATTCCCACCCCCACCAAGAGAATGCTCCAGACACAGGTGTGGGGGCCACTGCCCTAAACATCAAGTTTATTGTGCTGTTCTCACATTCCAAACCCAACCCCCTTTCCCAATGGGGGACAGCAGAGGGAAGGATTTTCACAGTACCTGCATGCCTCCCCACCAACTTCCCCTTTTTAACCCTCAGTCCATCATCCGTGGTCCACTGAAACGCAGCTAGGGACAAGAGCCAAGGAGAAATGAGAATCTCTCCTTGGGAGAACAGGAGAAAAAGGCTAGAGAACTTGATACCCCCCACCTCCCGTGCCCTAGGAGAACAGAGGTCAGCAAACAGTCCATGCCATCCAGCCCAGTGGGCTAGGGGAGAGGAAGATGATGGTAACTCCAGCACAGCTGGGCTTGCTGCTTAGGTGCCAGAGATGTAGGGAAGAGGCTGGGGCAGCAACACAGGAAAAGCTTTCGTTGCAGATCCAAGAAAGGAAACTATTTTTGGAGCCAGAAAGGAAAGACCTTGGGATACTTTCCTCTTCCCCCAGGTCCTTAGGAGCAGCAGGCAGTTTCTGCACACTTTCTGTTCAGGAGGCCACTTAGTGGCTGGGGGAACGGGCCTTGTGGAACAGATACACAGGACGCTGGAAGCCTGAAAGAAGAGTGTAATCAGGAGGGATTGGCAGGACCTTAAGACTCTCCACAAGGTCTTTACCCTACACCAGGACTGGCCTCCCTTCCTCTCCCAACAAAATAAGCCAACCTTACCTTTGGAGGTGTTGTGGGGTGTGGCCACAAGCTCATAGCTGGAGAAGCCCACCTCTGGGGATGTCAGGTAGGAACTGAACTGCTCTGGCTTCAGCTGGATTCGATAGTAGTTCTTGTAGATTGTTTCCTAGGGAGGAGGGCAGGGGACCACTTCAGCTTGTTGCCTTCTCAGATGGTAGAAGAGGATGCCCACCCGGGGAGCCTCTTCACCTTATTCAGGAAGTCCTTCCCTTTCTGCTTCCTTGACTCAACTAAAGAAAGGAGAGTCCCAATTTCCACAAAAACCTCAACTCACCGTAAGGGTCTTTCTCTTGCCGTAAGATGACCAAGGCTGGGGCTCCAGGACCAGGATGCCCCCAGGACGTAAGTGCCGGTAGATCCGGCGAAACATACGCTTCAGCCCCTCGTCTCCCCAGTTCAGATGCACCCACTTGGTGAGGCTGAGGCAGAGCACCACATCGTACTCGGGTGTTTGGGCCTCCACCAGCTCATCTCGATCCAGCACATAGTTACCCTGAGGGCAAGAATTGGGGATGAGGTCAACAGAGGCATGAAAACCTCTGCTGCCACAGAACCTACTCCATGGCCTGACTTTAGTCCTTGGCCACCATCTTCTGATACTCCTCAGAATAACTCCCAGATGGCGCCCTCTCTGAGTCTCATTCTCTCGGTTTCTATTGGTGGTAAGCCAATCAAACATAAAAACGGAGCCAGGGTAATTTTAAACTGAGCAAATTACCTATGAGATCACCAAAGAGGGGGTCAGACTGCAGAGAAAGAATGCTGGGGTTCTCTCAAGACCCCGTCCAGTACTTTATTCCCACTCCAAAAGCATTAAGCTGAGTGACTGAACATTCTGCAAACGGACCTAACCCAGGTTTGAAAGGGAGAACTGTGGGGTCCTTCCCTGTGGTTAGGGCTGGCAGGTTCAGACCTAGTCTCCCCTTTCTCCCAGAGAAATGAGCCCACTCCCTCAGGAATCCTTTCCTAGATGAGAAGCTCATTACCACCCTCCACAATGTCCATTCTTCAAGGTGGAACCCAACACACTGCCAGCTATTCCTGCAGGTGGCCTAACTGGGGCACTTTATGGGGAGCCGTGTGCGGTTAGGGGCCAGACACTGAAAAATACTCTTGCATGCAGAGGACTTTCTGATTTTTCCCCATTCCACCATCTGGGGTCAGTGTGGAGATGATCTAAGGCCAAGTCAAGTAAGTCCCTGGCCAGACACTGTTTAATCAACTCTACCATCTAATGCAAACAGGTCCCTATTGAAGAATAGAAACTACCCCTACCCCAAGACACTGCACGTCTGCCACTTATCCCTTCATGCACCTTCAGTAGGTTGGAGGACAAGTTTTCATGTGGACCAAATCCCCTAGAGAGCAGCAGCCCCTATCAGATGGTGGACAGGTCTGGATTACAGCACAGGATCAGAGCAGGGCACAAGGAGTCAGCCCTATCTTGGGGCTTGTAGTTATGAGAAGAGACCCCAGGTAGAGCCCCCACCTTTCCAGGTTATAAGAGGGGAGAGAGACCCAGCGAATCAGTCGCAGATTCAGACCCTTCTCTTGAGGGTTTGGTTCTCCTATGGAGGGGTGCATGCACAGAAACCCCCTGGGTCATAACCTGGCCCTGCCATGTTCCCAGTTAGTCTCTTCATCATTCCTGGCCTTACCCCAAGAGCCTGCAGACCCTCTTACCGTGACGAAGACAACATTGTTGGGGAAGACGGATGTGTCAGCTCCATCCAAGGGCACTTGGGGTGCAGCAATGGGACCCCGACTGGCTGACAGTGAGGCTGGGAAGCAGCTCCTCTTTCGGATGGTTGTGGTCCCTTCCTCACTCTCTGCTCCTGGGTCCCCTTCAGAAGTCTGGGGTGGCAGACGCAGCTCTTCGGACAGGTAGTGTCGGATGTTTTGGCGGGCAGAGTGGATGAGCCGGGCATCAATATCCAGACCCACCATGCGGGATGGGCCCCACTTACAGGCAATGCTCAGGGTCAGGTGGCCCACATTGCAGCCCAGATCTAGGACGTCCCGACCCCGAAACCACTCAGGTTTCAACACCCGAAGGCGACCATCCTCACAAGAAGGATTGCGGTACCCATAGTACTTGCAGTAATTCCCATACTGGAACTTGCGCTGTTGCTTTTTGAAACCTGCTGCAGGCAGTGGGTGGACCTGGTGGCGGCCTCCCCCACTCCCTCGGCCCTTTTCCTTGGGACCCTGGCCTCCACCCCGAGCCCCTGCCTCTGACTTGCTGGAAGTCCTGCGACGTTTGCGATGTCGTGAGGAGGAAGATGGGGGTGCAGAGGTAACTGAGGCAGCTGGAGGGGCTGAAAGGGAGCCTGAGGGACCCTGCAGGGCAGATGGAAGGGGTGACACGACCTCATCCCTGCAGTTGATGGCTGTGTTGAGTTCATAGGGTTGGGGGACGTCCCGGTTCTGGCCCCTATGCCGCTGCTGCTGTATGGTGCCCTCCCCATGGAGTGAGGGAGTGAGGGGGGCTGTGGGCAGCACGGAGTGGCTATCGGTCCCTCCAGTTGCCTGCTGCTGCTGCTGTTGCTGCTGCTGCTGCTGCTGGTGGTGCTGTCCCCGGTGTCTATGCCGCTTCCGACCAGTCTTGAGTGGTGAAGCAAGAATTACTTGGGCCTCATCAGTGCAAGTATTCAGACTGAGAGGGTCAGTAATATCTTTGGGGATGAGGATCTCCACTGGATCTCGCCCCTTGGCCGGAAGTGGGGATGACTTAGGGGTCTCTGCATTGAGTGCGCGGCTCACTTCCTCATCCAGGAGGCTATTCAGGTTCAGTGGATCAAAGATATTGCCCCCCAGGAGGAAGTTGGAAGGTAAGACAGAGTCACAGTCCGAATTAACCCGCCTGCGCCTCTTGAAGGCCGGATGTTTGAAGCCTCCACCACCTCCCCCTACATTACAGCTATTTCTCCTCTTCCCCCCACCTCCCCCAGGGGGTCGATGGGGCTGATAGCCATTACGGGGTCGAGGCGGGGCAGGGGGGCCCAGTTCTGTTCCGCCCCCTCCACGTCGCTCCTCCCCCACGTCCGGGGGAGCGGCTCGCCCGTGGGGATCCGACAAGCGGGCCTCCCCGTGCGACTGCGCCTGGGGGCCGCCCCCTCGTTGCTGCTGCGACTGGCCAAACCGAGGGGTGGATGCAGCCCCGGGGCTCTCC